GTGGTCACTAAAAGTCGACACCAACTTGATGAATTTAAAAAGCTATAGGAAAGTGGAATGAGCATTAAAGCAGAGATAGGTTACCTAAACTGAGATGGAGAACATGTGTTTTATGCTATGTAATGCATGCAGTTAGACATATATAATTATAAGTTAGACATGCATACTGTCAAGTCTCTTCATTACACAGTTTGAAATGACTGGCTCTTTCTGCATTATCCAAGACTGAACTGTTAGATTTTTCTATGAATTCTCATTTCCCAAAATAATAAGCGTCTTAACATGACTATGGTCTTTGAACTTACCATTCTTACGAAGAGATTCCCTGCCTCACACTCAATAAAACTGTTACATTTGGTAGGTGCAGATAAAGATTTAAAAGGAAATAATAATAATGTATTCAATTTATATGCTCCCTGGCTCTCAGTGACTCTGGGTGGGTTACAACTGTTAAAAAATTTAAGAACAAAAAACAACACAAAAACAGCACAAGACAAAACAATGATGGCAAAGAAAAGGGGGGAACAAAAAGGAAGAAAGGGGCATCAGTCATCCTTGCCAAAGGCCTGAGTGAAGAGCCACATCTACAGGGCCCTTCAAAATACCAGTAGGGTGGGAGCCATTCGAATTTTGGGGGAAACCTCATTCCAGAGGGCAGGGGTCCAGATGGCATTGTCAATGAAACCCAGAGCATGGCAACCCTGCAGGATCAAACTGGCCAGGCAGACACTATGGGAGATGGGTGGTCCCTCAAGTAACCAGGCCCTATGCCATGTAGGGCTTTATTGGTGGTGACCAGCACCTTGAATCACACTCAGAAGCGAAAATTAATTATTACTGATAATTTTGTCATCTGAAGTTTTAAATTAAATTTCTGAATTCCTGTCCAACTTGCATGTTTCTCTTCCCCTCTGCACTGCAAAAGAACTATCTAAACAATATAACAGAATTACACATCACAATGATGTGCTTTGAGCTAAGCCTACCTTTTTAGAATGGAAAGTGCTTCTCCAAGTTAGAAAGCAGTTTCCCACATTTGTGATCTCATAACATGACAATACTTGTGTTTCAGGCCAAGGCACAGAGCATGAAGTAAAGAAGCGTCTGTGTGGGTGTGCGTGCACAAACAATTGATTATATTTCTCCTTTTTTTGGAATGGGATGAGAGGATTTTTGTACTGCAGGACCTGTAGCAGCTGAAGGCAGGGCGTCTTCCCTCTTTGTTCTTAATGTTGCAAGGTCAGCAGAAGAGAAGGCAGTAACAGCTTATCTTCAAAGACAGTAACAGCTTATCTTCAAATCTCTTTTGAGGGACTAGAGAGTAGAAATGGTGGTGGGGTGAAAGTAGTCTAAGTAATCCAGTAGCTTGAAGGTGTGTTTGAATTGGATAGCTCTCTCTTCAGTTCCTGCTTTGTGAAATCTGTGTTTATGGTCTTAAATACAAGCATATGTTGGAGCTAAAAATGACATAGTCCTGAGAATACCATGGATAGCCAAGAAGACAAATGAATCATAGATCAAATCAATTCAGAGTTCTCATTCGGGGCATGAATGACCAGGGTCATATTTTGGACACATTACAGTACGCGAAGACCCAGCTCTCTTGAGAAGTCTGCAATGCTGGGAAAGGTAGAAGGCAAGAGAAAAAGATGACCAACAGCAAGGTGGAGGGACTCAATTGCAGCAGTGATGAGTACACCATTAGAAGACCTGCAGGGCTTCCTTGGGGGACAGATCATTCTAGAGAAAATCTGTGTGGTCACTAAAAGTCGACACCAACTTGATGACACATAATCAAATACAGACATTCAGATATTTGAAATTGGCATAAAGTGTATACATCAATGCCACAAATATTACGCATACCTAGAATAGCTACAAGCCTGTAAGTCATTAATATCTGGTACCAATGTATATGGCTGGAGTCCAAGTTATAAGCTCCCTCCTAGATCTATCATCCCTAGTTGCAGAAAACCAGAAGATGGCCTTGAAGCAAATATTCAGAAATGATTGTGTAAACAAAGAGGGCAGTCCTGGGAAGGGAATAGTTTTAAGAAGAGACTCAGACTGACTCCTCCCTGACTTACTGGGATATAAGAGGGAGGGGAGGAGAAGCACAATCAGCCTTGCAAGATTCTGTTTTTCTAGCCTATTCCAGGAAAATATAGTTCTGTGAAAGTCTGTTTCCTGACCTGGCCTACCTCAAAGGGCTGACACTAGTTCATGTCAAGGCATTTCTCTTGGCTCCTTAACTACTTCACTATGTTGTTAAAGATGCCATATAAGTGGGAAACAAAGAACAACCTGTTTCTCCCTGGTTCCCTGGACAGGTTACTGATTGAATAGCTACTTAAACATTGCCCACTGTTATGTGCCAACTGATGAAAATGTGAAGAGACACATTGCCAGCATAGGTACACTGTCATTCTACACATAATATGCGCGCAAGATGGACTGCTTAAGTTTTGCCAATTTTCTTACCCTAGCAGTCCCCATACCTCCTGAAAAGTTGTTCATGAGAGTTTGGAAGAATATGAATTACACAGAAGGCTATTTTATAGACTGAAGAAATAGTAGAAATCTGGTACCCTATTTAGCTTAAGTAAAAGGGCTTTCTATTATCTCTGAGATACTGATACAACCGAAGCAATTTCTGCTCTGTTCTTTCATCCTGGAATCTCCCTTTGACTATTCCCTTGATGTTGTTTTTATTGAAGTATGACCACCCACAGAATGGCCTGATATGTGTACCTCCATAGATTATTGAGTATTTCTACATTTGCTTACCTTTGCCATAGGTCTTTTGCTCATTATCAATTTATAGCATCTTCATACCATCACCCAAATGTACAAGTATGATATATAACATCATTCCTATCATGTTGGCACAACACTGATTGGATGACTCTGGAAGGGTTCTCTAAGCCACTAGTTCAGAAATGACCTCAGAGGACTTTTAAACAAAAAACATTTCATCAGTTAAAAACATGAATCAAAACATTTCAATGACATATAGACGGTCTTTTCCAAACTAGTACCCATCATACATATTGGATTACAACTCACACAGTCTCTAAAATAGTGCAGTAGTAGATATAATCCATGTTGTTGGCTGGCAAATAGCACTTGCTATTGCTAAGTTAACCCTTAAGAACAGCAACCACTTCCTAGCTCTGAAACTGATTCAGTAATTTGGACCAAATATTGTACAGGTAGTCCCTGAGTTAAGAATGCCCGATTTACGGATGACCCATAGTTAAGAACAGAGCCTATTGTAGCAAAATTTGAGTTAAATACACAATTGTTCAAGTTCATTACACATTATGCAGTTATTTTACAATAATACTGTTCCAACTTACATACAAATTCGACTTAAGGACAGACCATGGGAATGGAACTCGTTCTTAAACTGGGGACTACCTGTACAGTGGAATGGTCTTTTGATGTCCTGCTCTGATGCTTGATCAGTACATTCTAGCCTACCTTGTTGTGATGGTGCTTACCCAGCAGCTTATCACTGGAAACCAAGAATGTCATCTATATAAATGGCAGGATTCACATATTGGTCTGGATGGGTTCTAGTATGGAGAATTGGATCTATTGAAGGGAAAGTTATTAATCAGAAAATAAGTCTGACAATACACAAACCAAGGAAGTGTAGTCTGTAACCAGACAAAGGAAGGATAATGAAGCATTCTCCACTTGGTTTTTCTTCAAAAAACCACCAAGATACAGGATGATATTTTGTGAAATCAGTGTGCACTCAGGGCCTAAGATTTTATTTGGACATAGAGTCAGCCATTGGCTGACAAAAGTATGCTTTGAGATTTTGCAAATGGGCTCCTTGCAAAGTTGGGAGTCTCCCTGTTGTGGGAATGACAATCTAGTTGCATCCAGTTTTGACTGCAGCAGTTTGCTAGGTGAAAGCTCTCTTTTTTATTAGTTGTATGAAAAGCATGCATTACAGAGGTGTTTGGGAACGGATTGAGCTGCCTGAGACAGTGAGTAAATTGGCAGAACAAATAAAAATAGCAAGTACAAAGGGGGAAAAATAAAGATATATTAGTTTCTTATTAGGAGTTGCTGCAGGTGGGGTAAAAAAAGTCAAGACAAACAAAGAAGACATCAAGTTTGAATCACTCGAGCTGCTGCTGTTCAGTGCAGAAAAATTTTGAGAAAGATAAATGAATAGTTTTCAGCATTCCTAAACACTGGGTAAACATTTGGCCTTGCCAGCTATAATACTACAAGGTCTGTCTCCACAAGTTAAGTTTGATGTCTCGTATCCTAACAAATTGTGCCTGACTCGGAGGATCTAATCCTAAACAGGTTTATGTAGAACTTTCATACACAAAGTTAAGATTCCGGAGCCAGAAGAAAGAGGACTTGAAAGAACATAAATAGTGCATGGCTCTTGCAAGTGTCAAATGATCACACATTGTGACCTGAAATGAAAGTGATAATTTTAGCCAACTTTACTGAGAATTTTTCCAATCTTTATATAAATAACCATTTGGATAAATGTTAATTTTGTAGCCTTCCTGCATTACAAGCACATTGAGAAAAATGAATTAATTATGCTTGGGTATTTGCCTTCTCTGTCAAAATACAGCCAGGACTACTTTTAAGTGCATTGTTATAGACATCAGTTCAGATTTATCTTTCGTGTCTAGCCTAGCCTTAGCAATAGATTGTTTGTTGTAAGCTTTCCACATCAACTGTACTAATAGAAATTGTTACTAGCCATTGCCTGGATTATACCGTGGCTGTGGATACTCACTCAGTTATGATGCAGCATATTAGAATAAGCTGTAACAGAGATTGGCTCACATGTTACCATCTCCTCCCCTAGCATGGCCACAAAGAAAAATGGGAAACTTTTGCTCATGATATTTGGGCTCAGACAATATGCAGTTAGTCTTATGGGCAGATTTGCCCATCCCCAGTCATATTTTCTTTTAAAATAACAATGTCAGCAGAACATTAGTAGAGTTCCCCCGCCCCCCAATACTATGAGACAATATTCTGAGGCAGATGTGTAGTAACTGTATTTTGATATGGGAGGGAGGGAGGGAGGGAGGGAAGGAAGGAAGGAAGGAAGGAAGGAAAACTATGCTTTATTTTTCCCCTTCTTGTGTTCTAGAATGCCAGTAATTCTTCATCTGCTATGCCTGAGCCAAAGTCAATATGTGTTTCAGTAGATGAGGTGGTCTCTGGTGGTACAGACACACAAGAGGTTCATTTGCTCAGTGGCCATTTAAAGAAGATGGACAATGTTTTGACAGAAGCCCATCATTTCTCCTACCTTCCTCGGAGACCAGCTGTGAACATTGAGTTTAAAGATCTCTCCTATGCTATACCAGAAGGACCCTGGTGGAACAAGAAGGGTAAGCTAGGATGAATGTTTATGTAATTTACATCCTGGTAATACACCAACAGTAGCAAAGACAGTGAATTGTTGGTTTGCACATCACAGCATATTGTAGCTTAATCTTAGCTCACTGTGAGTGTGAATTCAGTGTATGTAATTTGTGAATTCAGTGTATGTAATTTATGAATTCAGTGTATGTAATTTATGAATGAAACTAGGTCATATAACTTGCTGGAAGATCATAGTTAACAAACCATGCCTAGTGTGATGTGAACTGTTAGATGTGAGGTTAACATTAAGCCTTTAACGATGTAGGACTCCTGTTTCTCACATTGAGATGTTTCTCACAGTTGGTTGCACTCTTTAAACATCTGTTAAAATAATATCAATTAAAAAAAAAAAAAAGTCAAATCCTCCCATATCAGGTACAAAGTCCCCAAAATGAAACATCACCAGACTACTTTTTAAACTGTAACTAGATATTTTGTTAATCAAAACTTTGAAAATATGACATCAACATTATTAGATGCTATTTATACAATATTAAAAGTACCATAGTTACAAACAGTCAAAATCAATAATTCAACCATTCTGGACTGCTACAGTTATACATTATGTTTTACGTTTTGTGATGTGTATTCTGCCAGGAAGGAAGAAGACATACATGGGATTCCCATTAGTCAATAAATCTATTGAGATAATTACTCTAGAGAAAAAATGGAAACTCTTGAGGCTAATGTCCCATATTTATTATGAAGCAATTAGAGTTTCACTTGGGTCTTTGGGCCTGGCTGTATGATATCACTTGTTTGCTTTATACTTTCAGAGCATACTGATGTACAGAATTTTAGAATGGCTGATGTGTAATTCTTTAGAAAATTCTCTTCTTCTGTAGTCTACTAAAATGCTGCTTCCCTTCTCCCCACCCTTATTAGTTCAAAGACTCAGCATGATAGAGACTGAAGTCCATTTTGCACAGGAGTGATGAGAGAACAAAGAATAATTTGTAATCTAAATCGTCTGTGTTGAGCTAGTAGGATATGAGAGAGTTCTATTGATGGTCCTTGTAGCAGGTGTAGAGAACCAAATCCAGCTAAAGTTCCAGACTGTCCACTTACCGTGGAAGCCTGGAGTGAAGATTCAACAAGGAAAGCACAACTCCCAACTCCTGAAATCTCATTCTTTGAATCAAAGCCTACTTCCAAGTTCCATGCCTGAATCAGTGAATGGTAGGAAGAGAAATGTTAACCTTTTTTGTCCCCTGTAATGATGGTTGTAAAATAGGTTAAGGAAATCCCCTCTGCAATAGATGATAGCAACTGGCTATCACTGAAAAACCTAAGCAGGGTCAGACTTGGTTAGTACTTGAATGGGAGACCACCAAAAATCCCAGTGGAATGAAATGAATAGAAAGCTGAAAAAACAGATCAGAAGAAAGCAGGAGCAATCTACTTCCCCATAGTTGCTAAGAAAACTACATGGAGGTGCCCAGTAATCACCAAGAGTTAAACTTCAGGGGATCTTTATTTTTTACCAAGCTATATTAATCAGGATTACCGTTTTCAAAACAGAAATTTTGCTTATTGCCCATATGATTGTTTACTAGTTTAACAGGTGCTGGCTGACTGGTTGCCTACTTGTGAAATAGATGAATCCTCCCATATGACAAAATATTAGGTGGCACATTCTTGCTACCATAGCATGCACACAAAACACGTTTGTTCAGAAAATTAACAGCTAAGCCCATTGTAGGCTTAATAACTGATATTATATACTGAATTGACCATGAACTGTTTCTCCTCCCCTTAATTTGAATTATATTTTCCATCCCCACATGCTCAACAAGAAATACAATTTCCCTTTAGTGTCTGTGCACATAGTCTACTGTATTCATTATGCTATTTATACTAGGGCAACCAGATCTGGACTGTAAAAATACTGATGACCACCAAATGGAAGCAAAGACTTATAGGTTTCTGAATACCTCTACTGCCATCTAGTGGTTATCTTGGATCTTTACAGCCCAAACGTGGTATTTACACTGAAAACAGATTCATAAGACTAATTATAGCATTGCTGATAATATTCACTCTATGTGTGTGGAAAGTTAAGTCCCTATACTACACATGCACATAACAAGAAGCAGTTTGGAGTTTTTTGAGTGAAGGCAAGCTCTGCATACCAGAGAAGAACACTTTAAGATCATTAGAATTTTTTTTTTTTAAAAACCTCGAAATATATGGAGCTCGCATCTCATACTGCTACCCTGCTGCCATCTTAGCTCCTTTGTTTTTCAGTTAAGATAATGTTACCTACATTCAGCAAGTGGTATCTAAAACTAGTGAGTTTCCTTTGAAGTGAACTTAGCTTCTGGTGACTTCATCAGTGCATCCATATACTTTAATAAGGTATAAGTTTCGCTTGAAAAAGGAGCACTTTGTCAATTCTAAGGAATAGACATTAAATTGTTTGGAATGTGGGGAGGTTTGTGGAATATAAGTGTTTGCCTTGGTTGTGGGTAACAAGCAGAGGTGGTGTCTGGAGTTACAAGTTGATGTACTTGAGCGTAGCTTATTTCATCCATTGCTACCTTGCCACCTGGTCTAAGAGATAAAGGCTGTAAAATATTGAAATAGTGTTTTAAATGGAATATTAAATAATCATATAGGTTCCTTGTTAATTTTTGGCAGCAAACCAACATTGGTTTTCTGAGAAATATACCTATTTGGTACTTGCTTGAAATTCATGTTTTTATCTTATTTATATATTACATTTTTAGAGTTGGTAACTTGGCTTTAAAGGCCTATACTGCAATCCATGAACACTTATTTGAGAATAATCCCCTTTGAACACTGTGCGACTTGCACGTTAGGACACATGCTACAATTATGCTATTAAATATTCACCTAAAAACAGAATGTGTGAATGAGTCTTATTTGATGGTCATTTCTGGTTCAATCTATTGACTAATTCCTGTGCAGTCCCCAGTGAAAGATAGATCTATAGTAAATACTGCAAATGCTATAAATAATTATTGCAAATAAAGTTTTAGGATTCTTGCATAAATCCCATTATTTCTATGTATGTTCACTGGTGAATTGCATGTATGCTTTTAAATCTTTTTTTATTCTTCCATTTTGTAACAAATGTCTGAAACATTGTCAACTTTTTCAGGTTATTAAGAAGGGCAGCTGTTTTTTCATAAGTTTATGGAAGATTTCTCTTTGCTATGAAAAATCACATATTTTGATTAGCTGCCTATATCTTAAATATTTCAAATATCAGAATTAAACTTGATCCAATAATAGACTTCTAATTTGTAGTTAAATATATGTTTAACCTGCAAGCTACTATTTAAAAACTATTAGAGAAAGTAGATTTCACCAAAGGGTACACACATTGGTGGCAAAATGAAATAATGTGGTATAAATATGCCAATGTTTCACCTTTAAAAAAAGTTGAGGTGTTATAAATTCCACTCTGACACATTCACATAACAAGTATGTATCTTGTATTGTGCTGGTTCCTGCAAGATTCCATACCTTATGCCTTTTGAAAATGCAAATGGTGCAAAATAGGATTTGTTGTATATTATTTGCTGTTTCTAGTCAGAGGAGTCTAGAAAAGCCTGTTCTTATGTAGCAGGTGCACTGCAGTTGAGGTGCTGCATGAAGCAGCTCTCTCTCATTCATGCTCGGTTACTATCAGTCATTGCACTATAGTAACCTCAGCCTGTGATGTTGGGGCAGTGACGAAGCAGTGGTTGATTGGTTGTTCTTCGACTGTTGCTAAGATGAGTGAGAAAAGGAAGGAAGGAAGGACCAAAATGATTGCCAGAGAAAAATACACATTCTTCTTCTGTAAAATAGTTGGAGGTTATAGGCAGGATTCAGCTTACATTTTCTACCAGTAAGTGTGCTTACATCTTAGTTAACACATGATTAGGCACCTTTCAAAAAAAAAAAGGAAATACCCAGTTAGATTGAATGATATGCAGGATGTAGCAACTCACTGCAAAGACAGTATTAAAGGCACCTTTTTAAAATAAATTTTCTAAATTGTACTTGATCCATTTAATTGTCTTTATTCTAAACCAATAACGAATATAATGAAACTTTTTTGTTGCTGTAACAGCTGCACATTTTAGCACTGGACTTCCATAGACAGGAATCTTTGATCCAATGAGTTAATTAGAATACGATGTTGGGAAAGCAGAAATTAGCAGATGCCTTTTCCCTTTTCATATCAACCGAAGGTGGCAGAAGAAAACCCTTGCTCCTTTTAAAAATGATATTTTTATAAATAGCCTGCTTTTACAGTGCTTTAAATAATTTTAATTGAATGTGGTACATCCCTGCAGTACCAATAACTAAGTGGTGCTTCTCATTGTCTGGCAAACTGAATCTTGTTGGCTACTTTGAGAAGAAAAGATAAATGCCTGGGTCATGAAAAAAATGTACCCTGGAACAATTTGCACCAATTCATAGATCTATGGTTGATAAATTCAGGACTAAATGGCTTAGACTTGGTCAGAGTGGATCTATTGAAATAAACTGAACACAAGCAAATTGTAACTATTTTTAATCTCACTATTTCAGTGGGTCTACTCTAAAGATGACTATGTTTGGATTGGCCTCTGTGTCTTTATGGATGTATCTTGAACCAGTTTCCTGTACTTTTTATTCTTGAGGCTTCTCCTAAAGAACCAGCAGAACTGTGTTAACAATATCAAGTCTGTGTCTGCCCAGGAATGGCAGTAGGTATCTTGCCAGTCAAAGGTAATCTTTGGCTACTTGGGTTTCCATTATCAATATGGTTCAGTGAGCACCCCAACTTTCATCCTGATGCCTCAAGGAAGGGCAATTCCATCCATAATAGAACAATCACACCTTTTGCAATCCTGGGAGCCACCCAATCTGAAATTCTGTTCAGATTGGGATGCTTCAGCAGCAACTTGCAAGCGTTCATCCTGGCCAGCTACCATAGTCCCCCATAGAACAATTATGCTGTGGCTGG